AATAAAAAAAGGTATTCGGGTTTTAAAAAAAAGCTATTTTTATACGTTTGAATAATGATCCTGATCCCGCTACACCTATCTTACGTGTGGCGACCATGGTAACGGCGGGGCAGGGGTGCTAAGAAACTGCGGTGGTGGTTCGATTGCCACCTAAGACGACCTGGCAACATTTAACGCACGCACCTTGAGGACTGACCAGAAGATCCCGGAGCTGGAAAAAGAGATCGGCAATTGATAATATATTATAGGATTATCTGAGCTCCGAATAGAGAGGGAGGACATGGTAGTACTCGAATCCGGCAACTAGTTGTATTACTGGGAAGGCGACCATCTGTCCCGTTGTATTGATTTGGAGAGTTTCGGCAAAGGTTGTACCTTATACTCAGAATCACTAAACGGTATTGGCTGAGTCATACAGGCTTACGTACCAACCTCGGTACATCTCTGAAAGGAGGTGGAGAAAATGTATGAGGATATCTCTAAAGCCATGCATTCCCCCAAAACTCACTATACGGTGTTAATAGGTGAATTCATCGCAAAACTAGGCTCAAGAGAGAACGGTGTACTGAAGGTAGGGAAATTCGGAATAGGGCAATAGACTCCCAGTGGCCAACAGCTGGCCGATTTCGTGGTAAGGGACTTTTTAAGATGAACTCTTTCTTCCAGAAGCGACCTCACAAAAAGTGGACGAGCTCGGGGTTCGTCCACTTTTTCGGAGGTCGACGGTTCGACAAAAAATTATATTAACTTCAATATGGCAACAAGACGACTGTTCAGTGATGTCTCAGTGATTGCGAAGGTGAAAACTGCGATTACCGAATGGTGAGAGGCACACTAAACCTAAACTTGAAGTTGGAGAGGTCACGTCTAATGAAGTCAACGCTCCATGACCCTCGTGCTCTAATCCAAAGCCCGGAAAACCTTCAGCTCAAGTGTCAAAATCGTTTTCAGTGCCTAGAATATTGCAATGCAGTGAATGATATGAATGACAAGCTCGTGGAAACTATCGATGCGGTTAGAGCTAAATTCTGGAAGAACCGTCAAAAAAAAAAAGAAAAATAAAACTCTTCGATGCCATGAGATTGAGAGTGTGCTTAATCTCATGCCTATTAGATGGGTATAAAGCAGGTGGTAAACCGGTACTCAACGTCCTTCAGAAACTCTTTAATTCCGTCCTCCATGGTGTCACTACTCCAGAGGCGTGGAGCAGAAGTGCGGTGGTCTTGTTCTTCGAGAAAGACGACAACGCTCCCTTGAAGGACTATAGACCGATTTCCCTTCTGAGCTGCGTCTATGTGCTGTTATCGAGAGTCATTACGAATCGTCTCGCTCGACGACTTCCAGAACTGAACAAGCCAGTTTCCGAAAAGGCTTTAGTACCATAAATCATATACATACCCTTCGGCAAATTGTACAGAATACCGAAGAGTACAATCTGCCACTTTACCTTCCGTATGTGGACTACGAAAAAGCCTTTGATTCTGTAGAAATTTGGGCGGTGCTACAGTCCCATCAGCGGTGTCAAGTTGACTGTCGGTATATCGAAGTGCTGCAGTGTTTGTACAGTAGGGCTACGATGGCTATCCGAGTACAGAACCTGAGAACTAAACCTATCTAGCTGTAAAGAGGTCTAAGACATGGTGACGTTCTATCCCTGAACTCCAGTATCGGAATCCTCGGCGCCGACATATCGAGTGACGTGCAGTTTCGTGGTCACTTGGAAGAGAAGGCCAAATTGGCTTCTAAAAAGCTTGGCGTGCTCAGTATATCCCCCAAACTCTTCACCGTTGCATCGGAAGAGGTTTACAAGTTACTGGACCGAAAAGTTAACATCAATGGCGAAGTACTTTATTTATATAATAGGTTGGAGAAAAAGATTCTTCGTATTTTATATACAAATTCAAGACATTTTGACATTTTTTTTTCAAAGTTTAGTTACTAGCTGGCCAGCCAGACGTCGTACTGCCCTCTCTGACTTAGTCCTATAAAAATGCCTTTGGGCCACCCTAAATATAATAATATTCAATGAACTGAAATTTTTATTTTAAAAATTATCGGACGAATAAGTATTTATCATTTATGCGATTTTTGTATGAATAATTATTTTTTTATCATACGATTAGCATTAACATTATTAATTTATTGTCTTAAAAGTGATTAACATGATTAGGTTTGATTTGGTTCGCAACGGGGTATGAAGGGGCGACGGGGCGGCGGCCTCCTTCGCCGTCTGTAATGCCGAACATTTACGTAGCAATATTCATAATGACCAGACAATGTGATTAGTAATGAATCAGTATTAATTACGTGGCCCAATTTGGCTTGTCATTAAATTCATATTGCCCGAGCAATTCATAATGAATAGTGCCTTGATTAATCACTTGGATCATAACATATAGATATAGCCTCTTGGTACCGTTAGGAAACGCAGCCTTACCATTTTTTTAATTATATTCATCTTTGGCAATGCTACAGATGTTGTAATGCTAAAATGTTTGGCAAACTTTCACGTGAGATTTTCTAGGATTAAAAACTAAATATCCGTCGGGAATTAGTGTCACAAAATGACCTTCCTTTGAATATATTAAACATTTTAAAAATTGGCGCGTGCTTCGAGATTATCAAGGTGGACTTACGTTATGTAGATCCTGCTTCTTATTTTAAATCACGTGACAAGATCAAGGAGGCGGTCAATTTACGGATATAATTATTGTAATAAATTACCACACTATTTTACATCTCCATTGTTTAATCTCATGTCCGATTATACACAGTTATTTAAGAGTCTTACTTGGAGACATGAGTCCAACATGTAAAGCCTCATTAAATAATTTTCCATGTGAAAAAGTCTCGGAATATATTGTTGCGCGCCACTATTAATGTCTTGTACATGGCAACACTAGTTACACTAGCGCCCTCTAATGTCGAGTAGCAGAAAGTGTTGCGCGCCACTGTAAATGTATTTTACATGGCAACACTAGTTACACTAGCGCCCTCTATTGTCGAGTAGCAGAACTAGGAGAGTCAAGATCCTTCCAGAAATTTCGGGACCGATATGTACTCGAAAATTCTAGATGTCGCTACAGTAGAAGGTTCTGGAAACTATCCGAGGCCCTATATAAGGCCGGTATAGACCACGACCGAGTCAGTATTGAATTAGCGATACAAGAGAATACTTCGAAGCGAAACAACTGCGAATTTAAGTGATTAGTAGTACAATTGTGTTTTATTATTAGTGTGATTTTAAGTTGCAATTAGTGTTGTGTAATTAAAGGGTTGACAACGTGATGGTTGACGTGAAGAAAACGCTGGACGACCTCAAAATTGGGAATGGAGTTACAGCTCCTGTGGTAGTTACAAAACCTTCGCTACTTGGATTCAAAGTGCCACCGTTCGGCGGGACTTTTTCCTGGTCGGCCTACAAAATCCAGTTCGAGGCTGTCATGAAAGCGAACGGCTGGAATAAAACTAACTGCTCTCACCCTAGATCTGCGCGACCAGGCCTTAACTGTTCTGGAAGCTTTCTATAAGGAAGTGACTTACGAGCAGCTCTTTGAAGCATTGGAGGCGAGATATGGCGACGCTCACCTGGAACACGTTTTTCGTGCGCAGCTCAAAGATCGAGTGCAACGCAGTAACGAAAACCTGCAGCAGGGGGCCCTTGAGGTGGAGAAGCTGGTTCGAAAAGCGTACCAGTCTGTACCTGCGCTGATTGTAGGGAACCTGGTGCAAACATTCATCGACGGCATCCGCGACTTTGAAGTCAGAGCTGCTGTGAGGCTCGGGCACCACGAGACGCTTAAGGACGCCTTGACCCATGCACTGGAGGTGGAAGCCGTCTGGCAGAATCATCGTTCCCACCGCGTCAGGGAGGTTGCAGCAGCTACAGTTCAGGATCGCAATAAAGGCTACAGCCCTAGGTGCTACGGCTGTGGGGAAGGGGCCATCTTCGATCCAGCTGCCCTAAGCGAACTTTAGAAAGGGAAGGTGGTCGATCTCGAGAGGGTAGTGCGGCCAACAGCACCGCCCAGCAGCAGCAGGGAAACTGGCGGGTGCTGGCTGATATTAAAAGAGCCCCAAGGATTTCGATCTCATAAACCCGTGATGGGAACAGCCTGATCATCAAGGGCGAGGTCAACGGAACGCCGTGTAAACTGACCATAGACATTGGAGCCTCTCGCACGGTTGTCAGTTCCCAACTTATAAGTCAGTTCCTTGGGGACTCCTCATACAACCGCGAACGCATTAATTTGGTGACAGCCACTGGTCAGCGCATACCCGTCCGTGGAGAGGAGATGGAATTGAAGCTAGGCAATATGATCTACCTGCATAATGTCATCGTGGCTGATATAATGGACGACTGCACCCTGGGCCTAGACTTTATGAGGAAGAATTGTTGTGAGATCGACGTAAAGCAGGGTGGTTTGAAATGTGGACAAGAGGAACTTTTTGTGGAAGGGGCGTTACCAGGGAATGTGTACAGCTTAAGAAGATTGTTCTTCCGCCGAGATCTGAAACGATTGTGCCGGTTAGTCTTCCTCGGAATCCTGGGCAAGCTCATCGTTGTGTACTCTTGGAAAGGGTAGACAATGACCTTCCATGGAAAGTGGCTCGAACCTTGGTCAGAACCACCGACATCTCAGGAGTACTTGTTGAACCTTTGTGATCAGGAACAGATTATAGAAAAAGGCACATTGGTTGGTACTAGTGAGGAAGTGGATTGGTTGCGTCGGTGTCAATATCTATCGACTGGGATCCCCAGCAAGGATGGACAAACGAGAGTGACCACACTTTTAGAAGACTGTCGCGGCGTTTTCTCCCCGAATGAAATGGTCAAGGCGAAAAAGTTGTTACTCAAGTACGCCAATGTTTTCTCGTCAAACGAAGCTGACATAGGAAAGACTGGCTTAGTTCAACACAAAATAAACACAGGACAAGAATTACCTATTCGTCAGCGGCCAAGAAGACTGCCTGTAGCACGTGAAAAGGAAGTGGAAAGCATGATTGAGGGAATGGTGAAGGATGGTGTTATTGAACCTTCATCTAGTCCATGGTGTTCACCTGTGGTGCTGGTAAAGAAGAAGGACGGCAGCATGCGGTTTTGTGTTGACTACCGCCGTCCGAACGACGTTACGAAGAAGGACAGCTATCCCTTGCCAAGAATTGATGACACGCTGGACATGCTTACAGGCGTGAAGTGGTTTAGTACGCTGGACCTGAAAAGTGGCTACTGGCAGGTTGAAAGTGACCCTAAGGACAAGGAGAAAACTGCATTTTCCACAGGTAAGGGTCTGTGGCAATTTAAAGTTTGAAAGGTTGATGGAGCATGTACTTACCGGGCTAATTGGAGATGCCTCTCTAGTCTACTTGGATGACATCACCATCGTAGGCCGTACGTTTGAGGAACACCTTCAAAACCTAGAACGCGTGCTCACTATTCAAACGGCAAGTTAGCTTTTTGGGGTATGTAGTGTCGGAAGAAGGTATCCGCACGGATCCAGAGAAAATTACCGCTGTCAAGGATTGGCCGGTTCCAAAAGACAAGACACAGGTTAGAGCATTTTTGGGTTTGTGCTCTTATTATCGGCGATTTGTGAAGAATTTTGCAGATATAGCCAAACCTCTGCACAGGCTAACCAAGGAGAAGCGACATTTCTGCTGGGATGAAAGTTGCGACATTGCATTCCAGGAGCTCAAGAACCGTCTGTGCAAAACACCTATCTTGGGATACCCTGATGCGGGCAAGGAATTTATAGTTAACACAGACGCAAGTGATGTAGGACTTGGCGGTGTGTTGTCTTAACGGAATGGTGATCTAGAGATTGTGATAGCGTACTTCAGCAAGTCGTTGTCAAAGCCGAAAAGGAACTATTGTGTCACAAGACGGGAATTGCTTGCTGTGGTAAAGTCCTTGCAGCATTTTAGCAAATATCTTCTGGAGCGGAAATTCCACTTACGAACTGACCATGCTGCACTGAAATGGCTATTGCAGTTCAAAAATCCGGAAGGACAAGTTGCGAGATGGATAGAACTACTGCAGGAATACGACTTTGTGATCGAACATCGCAGCGGGAAATTTCATGGCAATGCAGGTGCAATATCAAGAAGACCTTGCCCTGAAGATTGCAAGCATTGTACTAGACAAGAGGGTAAGGAATTGGTATCTGTGAGGATACTCAGGACAGACCAGCTCAGCAATGAGTGGAAGGACAGCCTACAACATGCACAGCAGGAAGATTCGGACATTAAGCCGATTCTGGAATGGATGAAGGCCAGTTCTCCTAAGCCCAAGTGGAGCGACTTCTCAGCAATGAGTTCGACCACGAAAAGCTATTGGGCCCAATGGGACAGCTTGCTGATTCCGGATGGAGTCCTGTGCCGTAAATGGGAAAATGGTCGGGGAGATGTCCTTTGCAAATGGTTGTCCCTAAGGCTAAAGTACCGGATGTTCACAGCTGTAACATAGTGGTTCTTCAGGAGGCCACCTGGGAGTTAAACGAACTCTACTGAAGATCCGAGAACGGTTTTACTGGGTCCACTGTCGTGGCGATGTCGAGGACTGGTGTCGCGAATGTACAAGTTGTGCGGCTGTAAAGGGACCTCAAATTCGTAGTAGAGGCGCATTGAAATTGTACAATGTTGGTGCACCATGAGAGAGGATAGCCATTGACGTTGCGGGGCCGTTTCCGGAAAGTGAAAGTGGTAACAAGTATTTCATGGTTGTGATGGATTACTTCACTAAGTGGCCAGAAGTCTTCGCCATTCCAAATCAAGAAGCTTCAACAGTTGCAGATAAACTAGTTAATGAAGTCTTCTGTCGTTTTGGAGTACCTTTAGAGATTCACAGTGATCAAGGAAGAAATTTTGAGTCTCAAATATTCCAAGAAACTTGCCGAGTTATGGGTACTCATAAAACACGAACAACTTCTTACCACCCACAATCTGATGGAATGGTAGATCAAAAAACTAGACTTTCTTAGGTTTATGATAACATAAAGTAGTAATTTTGGTATTCTTCCGATTCTAACGAAAACCTAAGTTATGTTAATGATCATTAACATAGCTTAGGTTTTTGATCAAAAATTCAGTTTTATCATAAACCTACGACATATACAAACTAGAGGTTACAAAAGGGAAAGTAATAATAATTTTGTGATTTTCAATGAATTGGGATACTGTGCTACTGAGTTATGCTGGTAAAGGCTACCAATAAATTAAAGGAGGGGCAGGTGTGTGTATTATTATTGTGAAATTTTCTACCGACTTCGGTATACTCCATGAGGGCTAATAATTTTCTGCTTACCAGATGTCGCTAACTGAGGTAAAGTTTTTTGTTACACAATATCATTTAATTGAGAAGTTAGTTTTTAACAAAAGTTTATCAGTTTCTAGAGTATTATATTAATACACAAAACAATGCGTCAGTGGTTTGCTCTTTAATTTTATGCACACTAACTTTTTTTTAATTTTCTACTTTTATGAATATCTGTGGTTTGGTTTATTTAGTTTTAATCTTATTAATATAAAATATAGCTAATATTATAGCTGTCAAATATTATACCTCACTTTCTAGTGACGCCGCTCTAGTGGCAGAAAAAGTCGTGGATGCCCTCATTCGATTGTATGTTCTTTTTTCTTTTTTTAATGTGTGTTACCTCATAACTTTTTTCTGGGTGCACCGATTTCGATGATTCTCTTTTTATTTGAAAGCTGATGCTTCTCATGTGGTCCCTTATAAATTTAATCAAGGTTTGAACAATAGTTTTTGAGTTATTATAAAAAAATTATACTGAAGTCGGTTGTAAAAAAATATCAATTTTAAATTATGATCCAACCAACTGTCATAGGTTACACCAACTGTACAAGACCAGTATCATTGCGACCAGTATGATCCCTCGTGATTGCTGCTATGGCTATATGTTTATCACTAAGCCTTTGCTTGTGGTCTCGCTACTAAATGTACACATTAAACATAATTATAACTTTTAACAAAAGTAAAAACCGACTTCAAATTGCTAAAAAAAACTTATTTATTTGGGTAGCAAATAAATAAGTTAGGGGTGAATTTTTTTCTCCAAATTTATATATGGGACCACCTTGAAGTATAACCTATTTAATAAAAAAAACCAACATCAAAATTGGTTCACAATCTGCAATGATATCGAATTGAGAACCTCCTCCTTTTTGAAGTCAGTTAAAAAGTTATGATTCTCTGCGAGGCGCAATCAGTAGAATATTTTTTTCATAAAAGTAAGAGTGATTAACGAGCACGCGGTCCAGACAGAAAGTGGGTGCTGTGGCCTATAGAGCTAAAATGCTGACGCGAACAGTAAAGAGTCTTATGTGCCATCGTTACCCTTCTCCGGTGAAGCAGGTGCAGCGTGACTTTGCCACGTATAAAACTATAATTATTATTGCAAAGAATTTTGTAAACATATAATTACAAAATATTAATTCCAATTAATTTACATTAGTAACAGTACTAATGCTATGAGTTCATCATCACAGAAAAATTTTTTACAAAATATTTATCTTATAAAAAATATTCAATGAAATGTAATCTGCGGGGAGTTTTGGCGCGCTGCACCCGCACTGACATTTAAGACGGTGTTGCCCGCCAAATCATTCGCCGGAGAATCGGGAGCGCGTATTTATAATGGCCTAGATATTTTTGTGCCGATCGAATTGATAATGCACTTCCTAGTTATAGGGAAGAGAATTACTCCCTTGGTTGTCTGATGATTACGGTGTAAATTAATCAATTATCATATTTTGTTTACACGAAGGGGGTCACTTTGTCATAAAGTTTTTTCTATAATATAAATTGTTGAATTTAAAGAGTTGGCACAGTGACAGGGCGCTGGCTGTGTAATTTCTTACTACACGTTAAACCGAAAAGTATCTTCGAAATAAGAATCTCTATTTGAATAACACTGAATTTATATTAAATTGTAATCCGTACTGATTACCTGTGAGCAGTATACCTGTGTATGTATAGTCGAAAAATGTATGTAAAATTGGTTGGTATTCCAATTTTTATAAATCCTTTACTGCCAAAATTCTTAACTAGAATTACTAAATAAATATAAACTAAAGCGATTCTTTAGTCAAATATTCTACTTCTTTATTTTTTTATCATTCTCGACGTGAGTCAACGCACTTTTGACGGGATTATTTTGTTATTTTTCAGTATTGTACCTACACTTGTTCAGATCTACGATTTATTATTGGATCGAAGTTCCTTATCGCACGGTACGAATTTGACGGATGGGGACTAGGCGAGAAAAAGTGTAAGACTTTTCCGTCATGACGCTCTTTCTATAGTGCGAGCGAGATGGAATAATATCCATCTCCCTCGCACTTTTTCTTATCCTGCCATATTTATTCTGTGCCATGAGAGAAATATTATTTTAAATTACGCTTGATTTTAATACACGCTAGTAATTAATTTATTGGTATTTGTTAATGTATAATAATAATACGTTTATCAATAATAATATACTACGAAAAGAACTTCGTTCCAACAGAGTATTCCACGACACATACGCATGTTTTATTATTTCCTGTGATTTACTATGTAGTCATTGTCATCAATATAATTTAAAATTTTAAATGAGATTGACTTCATTATGACGACCAGACGACAACTGTTTAGTGATGTTTAGCGGTAATGCCAAAACATACCGACTCAATGACCACGTCCAAATGGCTACAGATTCTTTGCTACAACAGGTCCCATCCGCAGAGATCGTGATCCTTGGCAATTTTAACACCCACCACGCCGAATGGCTCGGTTCACGTTTAACCGATCATGCGGGGAGATCTGTTTATGACTTTGCTTTGGCATATGGTCTGACACATCTAGTTACTTCAACTACGCGGATTCCAGATGTGGAGGATCATACACCTTCCCTGTTGGACCTTCTGCTGACCTCTCATCCGGATGGATATCAGGTTTCCGTCGATGCCCCTCTCGGCTCTTCGGACCATTGTCTGATCCGGAGTGTGGTGCCACTCACGCTCCTCTCGCGGTTGCGTTCTGCAGGTTGCCGCCGTGTTTGAATTACAGGTCGGCGGATTGCGACGGAGTGCGGTCTTTCTTTGCATCCTACCCATGGGGGCGGGTTTGTTTCTCGCCGAATGATCCCAGCGCTGTTGCTGTCTCTGTCACTAATGTGGTGCTACAGGGAATGGAACTATTCATTCCATCATCTGTGGTACCCATCGGAGGCAGATCTCAGCCTCGGTTTGGTCGCTCCTGTAAGACTTACACACATGACATGAGACATTACAAAGCAAGCAGGAGTGTTATCAAGCCTGGGCTGCGGCTTCGGCGACTTGGGATGTAAACACCAGCACACTTTAAAAGAAGTATAACTTCACCTCCAGGTCCTTCAAAAGAGTTATTGCCACGGCAAAGTTAGAGCACATAGGCAGAATTGCCGAGAAACTAGTTCGCCTTCCTTCGGGAACCCGTGCATTCTGGTCTCTCGCCAAGGCTGTCCAAGGGAATTTCTGTAAGCCATTACTACTATCTCTGCACAGGGTGGACGACTCACTGGCCCAAGACGCAAAAGACAAAGCCGACCTTTTAGGCTCCCTTTTTGCGTCTAACTCGACTCTTGATGACGGGGGGAAAACAATCCGCCGACCATCCCGCGGTGTGAGTGCTCCATGCCGGATGTGCGGTTCTCACAGCGCTCGGTTCGCAAAGCACTCCCCTCCCTGGACATCCAGAAGTCGAGTGGGCCTGACGGAATCCCCCCAATTGTGCTGAGGACATGTGCTCCGGAGTTGGCACCG